ATATTTATATATATTTATATATATAATATATATTATATTATAATTAGGAAGGAAGATCAATGGTTATGTGTACAATAGGTCATAATATAAAGAATAAATAAATAAAATAAATAAAATAAAAAAATAAAATAAATAAATAAATAAATATATTTATTTATTTATTTATTTATTTATTTATTTAATAAGGTAAATCCATAGCAATAGGTTTAATAGGACCAGAGATGTATACACCTGGTGCTAATTCTTCAGCAAAACATTTTCCCCATGAATTATTATTATTATTTATATTATTATTTATATTATTATTATTATTATTATTAATATTATTATTATTATTATTATTTATATTATTATTAATAAATGTACACTGTATACTTGGCCACCATAAGGAAGTTGTATCTATACATATCCTTGGTTGCCATGGTCTTCCTTCCCTATAAGAAGTATCCTTATGTATTATAATTGTAGGCTGATTATTTCTTATATAAGGATTATTTTCTTCCCCTTCTTGTTGCTGATGCTGCTGCTGCAGTATATGCTGCTGCTGCTGCTGCTGCTGCTGCTGCTGCATATATCCCTCATTAAATTTATCCTCTATATTTATTGTATATTTACTGTATATATGTACAGCAGGAGAAGAACTTTTACGTATTTGTACATAAGGTTGGTAATCAGAGGATTGTACAACAAATATACAAGGATAATCTGCATAAGCTATTTTTATTGAGGATCCAGCTGCTGCTGCTGCTGCTGCTGCTGCTGCTGCTGCTGCAGCAGCAGCTGCTTGGGCTTGGGCTTGGGCTGCTGCTTGGGCTTGGGCTTGGGCTTGGGCTGCTGCTTGGGCTACTGCTGCTGCTTGTGCATGCATTTGTACTGATGAAGGAGAATGGGGAAGAGGAGGAGAAGAAGAAATAGGAGAAAAAGGATAAGGAGGTGTATAATGGGGCTGGTAATGAGGCATTAATGCATGCGGCTCTGCTGCTGCCTTATAAGAAGGGGATTCAGAGGCACAGAAGGGGGACTGCACTGCTGTACTGCTGTTGCTATATACAGAAGCAGCAGCAGAATGTGCTGCTGCTGCTGCTGCTGCTGTTGGTGTTGTTGTTGCATGCGTTGGTGCTGCTGTTGGTGGTGCAGTAGGAGATGCAGGAGTAGGAGGAGAAGAAGAACCTATAGAATTATTTGTATTAGATGAATATTCACGTTTATATGTATTTACCTCCTCTTTTGCATGCATATTATTATTGGGGCTGGATGCTGATGATGATGAATCAGGTAATAACTTAAGAAGTTGAGCAATTATAGATACAACTAGTTGAGGAGGTGTGTTAGGGCGCCATTCATCTTTCTCTTCTGTATTATTATTATCTGTTGCTGTACGTACACCTAACCAATCATTCTTCTTATTATTCATTGAATGTATTGATTCTGCAGGTACACTTTGGGTATGTAAGCTGCTAAATATACTACTTACAGGCGATGTTGTTGCTCCTCCTCCTTGCCGCAACCCATGAGCAGCGGTAGCTGCAGGCACAGACCAGGGGTCTATTGATGTCATTTTCAAGGAAAAAAGATATTAATAAATGCGGAAAAGAAATATTAATGTATTTATGAAGAAATATTCAAGAAAAAACAAGAAATACAGCGGATATAGGGCGGATCATATATCTCATGTGCCACACACCAAGTGGGGGAGGAGTTGCTGCGGTAAGAGATGTGAAGAAGATACTTGCACAACTCTTTTTACTCGTAAATGACTAAAATAATGCATTAATAATGCATTTTTATCATTTTAAAAGGCAAAACGGAGAAAATTCACACTCCTTCAGCCCATCGCTCTTAAGGCTTGTTCAAGAACAACCGCCGAACAGCCACCGCAGAGCGTGATGGCATGTGGCGTACGTACACTCTAGCAGGGGATGACGGCCATGCCGGTGTGGGCCGATCTGCTAATTATCGTCATTTTTGGCGATAAAATAACCGTTTTTTCTAATTAAAAAATGTTTAATGAGTTTTATTTTGAAATTATAATTCTTTTGATATGCATTAATGACATATTAACTCTATTTAATGAGGATCGGATGGGGTGGTGCCACGATCTACTGTGATCTACTGTGTGCGGCATGGCACCATCCGATACTTCCGTATACATCTTAATTATGTTATTTTTTCCTATTTTTTTCTGTTAATACATGAAATAAACAAAATTAAAACAACTAACATTCAATTTAAGCTGAATTTACCCTCCATATTCAAATATTTCATGAAATCCTGTGGCGTGTCCAACCTGCTAGCTTCCTGTTTCTGCCGGCGAGGCAATCGCTGTAGAATGAATGTTGTGTGCATGTTGATGCTATAGGGAATTCAAATATTATTTCATTTAATTATTTATTTATTTTATTTATTTTATTTTATTTATTCTAATTTAATTGTTATTTCTTCCACTGCAAGCTCAAATAAGAATGACGTCTAGTTGCCTATACACCTGCAATCCAATCGCTCCCCTCAGTACTTCAGTACTTCTTGCATATTACACGAATTTTTAATGCCTTTTCTCCATTTAAGACTTTTAAATTAAATAAAAATAAAACAAAAAAAACAACTCAGCCATCTTCCTTAAAAGGGGAACAAATGGGGGTCCTTTCTGCTGCTGTTTGCTGTTTGCAGTTCAATTGCAGCAGAAAAAATGATGGAAATGAGCAATTAATTCAACTGTACATACACCACAGAAGACATTTATAGTTTTAGCTTTTAATTATTAGCAATAAATCATTGTCTTTATGCTAGCTACAATCATTATAACTGCTAGCCAGCTAGCTGGTAGCAGCAGCAAGTATGCATGTATATTGCGTATAATGTATACCCGTTCTTGTCCAGCTAGCTAGCCAGCTAGCTAGTCATAGAATCCGGCTAGCTAGCTAGCTAAAGTAGCTGAAACAGACAGCTGGCTAGCCTTCTAGGTAGCTAGTTAGCTAGCTAGCTGCTTGACGTCTAAACAGGTTCTGTTGTTTGCTGCATAAAACTAGATAAACAGTAAAGAAAAGAAGAATACAGGAAAAATACAGTGTATATACAGATAAGGAATTAATAAATATATTTAGGGTTTAGGGTTTAGGGTTTATATATTATGCGGATATAAATATACAAAAACAAATTAAATATAAAATAGTTGTTTCTTTTCTTTAAATATAAGGAAAAACGCAACAAATAAATAAATATAAATAATTACTTTTTTCCTCTTTTTTTTCTATTTACTGGGGTGTACGTACACCTCAATAATATTATTCTTGATGTATTTTATGTATTTTTTTATGTTTTAGATTAATATTTTTATTTTTTTTAATTTTTTTCTTTTTTTTTATTTTTATTTCTTTTATATTATTATTATTATTAATTAATTGTTCCTCTATTGCCTTCCTTATTGCTGCCATTAATTCAGGTGTACCTCCACGCCACCATAAAGGTCTATTCAATTTCTTTATAGGGGGCATAGGGATATTTTCGTATTCTGTAGTGGGCCCCGGCTCCTTAGCAGGTCTTAATATACCTCTTGGTGGGGCCCCCCCACTACCTGCTGCTGCTGCACCTGCTGCTGCTGCTGCTGGATCACTACTACCAGCAGCAGCAGCAGCAGCAGCAGATGATAAACCCTTTGCTGTAGAAGGAGTAGCAGGCCCAACAGCTACAGATGGCGCATGACGGGAGAAAGCTGCACAGGAAAAAAAAAACATAACAAATAAACAGATAATAAGCTTGCTGCTGCTGCTGCTGTTGCTGCTGCTGCTACTGCTCCTGTTGCTGTTGCTGCTGCTGCTGCTGCTTAATGGCTTACCTACTACTTTATTTTTCTTAAGATTAAATAATACCCTCTTACTAGGAGGAGTAGATGATTCAGATACACGAATACTTCTTCTACGCTGTAAAGGTCCTCCTTCTTGCTGCGGTGTATCCGCAGCAGCAGCAGAAGCAGCAGCTGGTGCTGCTGCAGCAGCAGGAGAAGGAGCAGCAGCAGATCCTTCTTCACCTGGTGCAGGTACAGGTGCACTAGAAGCAGCTGATGCTACACCAACATCAGCATCATCTGCTGTTGTTGCTGCTGTTGTTGCAGCAGCAGCAGCAGCTGCTGCTGCTGCTGCTGCCTCTGCCTTCTTCTTTTTCTTTATTTTTTTTGCCTCTAAAGATGCGGAGCTTCCTGCGGGTGTAGCTCCTTCTGTTATATCTTCCTCCTCTACTAAAGAGCTGCTGCTGTTGCAGCTGCTGCTGCTGTTGCAGCTGCTGTTGCTGCAGCTGCTGCTGCTATCCTTGTCTGCACTGCTGCTGCGGATAGGCAGACGTAAGCCATTAGATGTATTAGCGAAATCGTCTTCTCTTTTATTGTTGTTTATAGCAGCAGCAGCAGCAGCAGCAAAAACTTTCTTTGTTTTTTCTTTTGCTGCTTTCTTTATCATTGTTTCTTCCTCTATAGATGTCTCACGCTGCTGCTGCTGCTGTTGTTGCTGCTGCAGCTGCTGCAGCATGCGCTGCTTCTTTTTGCTCTTTTTTGACTCATGGGGTGTCACTGCATCTTCATCTATTTCTGCTGCTGGTGCAGCAGCATCAGCAGCAGCAGAAAGCCCCAAATCTGCTGCTGCATGCATATTGTCAGGAATATCTAAAACAGAAATAAAAGATCTTTTCTTTTGCTGCGGATACTCCAGCATAGAATCACAGGGTTTGTGCTGCAGCTGCTGCTGCTTCTCCTTAGTGAATTCACCTACTACGCGCTGCAGCAGCAAATCAGCAAACCTCCTTATGGTAAAGGAGCCTATTGTACGGGAACCAGCAGCAGCAGCAGCAGCACTGCTGTCATCTGCTGCAGCATCGTCTTCTGACGATGCACATGCATCTGCATCTGCAGGAAAAACACATCATACAAACCCTAAACCCTAAACCCTAATATCTGTATGTAGGAGGTACACCCATAAAAGGATAAAAAGAAAGGAAATAAGAGAAAAATAAAGACAGTAAGATAAAAAGGAAATAAAAGAAGAAAAAAAAGAAGAAAAGTACAATAATAATACTTACGTTCCTTAAAGTATTCATGAGCGACGTAAAGATGTTTCCTGTTCTCACTCCTTATTCGGCTGTACATACACCACAAAAGAGGAAAGTTGAATATAATTAAAAAAAAAGGAATATTTTTCTTTCCTCCTTTTCTTTTGTTTTCTACTTATTTATTTTATATAATAAATAATATAATTAAATGCACAAATAAATAAATAAACAAATAAATAAATAAATAAATAAATAAATTCTCTTACCTATCGCTTGCTAATGCAAAGATTGCCGCTGCTACAAACTCAAAGTCAACATCGTCAGGTGTCATCTTTAGTAATGCCTATACAGAAAAAGGGAGAAAGAAAAAAGAAGAAAAAGAATAAAAAAGAAAAAGAAGGAAAAAAGAAGAAAAGAAGAGAAAATGAATAAAAAAGAGGAAAAGAGGAATAATATGAGGGGAAATGGGGATTAAAAAGGTAATAAAATAAGATATAAGGGAATAAAGAGAAGGAAATAAGAAAAAGGAAGAGGAAGAGACATAAAATAAAAAGGAAGAAAAAGAGAAGAAAAGGGAAGAAAAGACGACAAAAGAGAGGAAAGAAGCAAAAAAAAGACATTTTTTATTAATTATACAAACAAGATAAAGATAAAAGAAAAGAAAAAAGAATAATAAATAAAACAATTAATTAATTAATTAATTAATTAATTAATTAATTTATTTATTTATGTATATACTTACAAAATCGCGTATTTTATGAATAAGGGGAGAATCATTAGAGAAACAAAAACAACGAAGAATAGGAACAAATATCCAAGAAAATGCCCTTAATCTCTCCTATATAGGCACAATATATACACAATAATAATAATAATAATAATAATAATTATTATTATTATTATTATTACTATTATTATTATTATTGCTGCTGCTGCTGCTGTTGCTGCTGCTGCTGTTGCTGGAAATACCCATGCATGCATGCATGCATGCATGCATGGGTATTTTTCTTGTATATCTTACCTCTTGTGTTGGTAGTGGTTGTTTCTGTATAGCGGGAGGATCTCCATCTACTGTTACATCTGCATCTGCTGCTGTTGCTGCTGCTGCTGCTGTTGCTGCTGCTGCTGTATCTCCTGCTGCTGCTGCAGCAATTAATGCTCTATATTCCTCAAGAATTATATCAATAAGATGGAGGGCAACACCACGAGAATTATTTCTTAGTAATACTTCCTCACATAGAAATTCTATTGCTCCCTTAACAAACTGAATAAATAAACAAACAAATAAATAAATAAATAAATAAATAAATAAATAAATTAAATATATTAATAAGGATAATATTAATAATATTATATTAAAAAGAATATTGTGCATATACATGTATATCCATAATATACATATACATAATACTGTATACATATATATATATGTATATATGTATATATACATCTACACATACAGACCACACATACACCATTAACGCATGCACGCATGCATGCATGCACATACTTGCATGCATGCATATACTTGCATGCATGCATGCATGCATGCATGGAAGTAGATATATACTTACATTTTCTTGCCATTGTAGATTATGCATGCATTGTATCCATTCAGCAAATAAAATACGCAAGAATAATACGAATTTATTAACGCGGTGTCTGTCTATCTTTTCCCATTCAGCAATTAATACATAAAAGAAAGAAAAAAAGAATTTATTTTTTATATTTAATGATTTTATATTTATATGTAATAAAGATATACGTATAAATAATTCTCTTTGTATTAAGGGCTTATCGCTTAACCAGGCAGCTGCAAAGAAAAAAAAAAAAAAAAAAAAAAAAAAAAAAAAAAAAAAAAAAAAAAAAAAAAAAAAAAAA